GTTGTTAAGAGTAACTTACGCATATACACTGGCGTCGTGCAAACTGAACCCGATCGACTGCCGATGTAACGGCAGTCAGTGAACGACGGATCTCGCTATGACCGTAAGGTAGATTTGATTTGAAAAACGTCCCTCTCATTACAAGCTATAAGGAAGACCGGAGTCCGTCGTCCGTATTTATTTATCCATATTTAAAGACAGCATGATGACCTGAGGCTGAACCAGTTTCAGCATCAGTGACATCACTTGGATCTCGCAGGGCTTGTAGAAGTGACATCAAATAATGTACCAAACCTCAACTTAGCTTCGAATAGAAGATAAAGTTCACTGGACCAGATATGGTTAAATAGCGCTGCCTAAAATACATATTAAGCTTTAATGACTGCCATAACAAATCCTTGGGACAAGCAAAATCAATAAAAAACGGAACGAGGTTCCCAATTAGAGCTTTATTTCTCGAATTATTAATAAATGCAGGTTCCGGTGGTATTGGACGTTTACTTGTGACATATTGCGACAGTTGTGCTGATAACCTGCGTGTGTAATTGCTGCCTTCCGGGGTAGAGCTGAAGGCAGGTCACGTCAAGGATTGACGAGACCTCACGATGACAATTACTACCACACGACAAGAGCAGGCTAATAGACAAAGCCGGCCTGAAAACAAACAGAACAAAGCCGTGGTCGCATCTACCTTGGGAGAACACCGAGCAATCGAGCTAATTAGGAACGTGCCTAACGAAAACAGGAGGAGGACGTTAGAACAATCCACGTAATACGGAGTTCATTTCCCCCGCTATTGACCGATCAACATTTCCTGTTAAGGCCAATGGCACGTGTAGATCGCTAGGCGTTCGATCATACGTCTAATGGGTGATTATATGTCTACCACTGATGTGTGGAATTCAGAAGCAAGCGCAACAAAGTGGTGCAAGTTGGCGTGAGCATACCGCATCTTCTTAAACGCTGTTGGAGACTGTTTGTTTGGCGTGCGACAGAGACAATGCCAACCCGATCCCCGTTAAGTGCTAGCCATGACGTTGAATGCTCTTCAATCGCCAACCACACGACAGAAGTAAGATTTGAATTCATATGAGAACAGATGTTTTAATTTTGCACACCAAAACCAATCTGATTGCAATGAGGCGACGGAAATGGACCTTGAGGATGTCTAAAAATTTCTTTCCCAGCATTTGGATTACCTTCAAGGAATTTTAAACGTCCGAAATAGTACCTCCACCTCATAGTTAAGTTCAGACTACAATCACGATGGATCAACACAACACTCATAATTTTAAGTGAGAAACTCCTTCAGTAGGTTGGCAGTGTTTTCGTGGTACCTTTGTTCCACGAACTCCTTAATTCCCTGTTTCGATCCCATCTGCCAGAAAGGTTTCGTTTATGAAGGCTTTATATGCGGTTGAGCAGAAGCATACCTTATAGCTCCCCGGTTTTTTTTCCTCCCTTGCAATTATTCGTTTATTCATTTACTTTTTAAGATGAATGACGAGCATTCTTGATCAGACTAAAGCCAGCAACCATTTCGTTTTAAAGCCTACGCGCAGCAGCCACGTTTCTATGCCTAAGGCAGAGCAAAAGAAGTATACTGTATTTCAATTTTTATAATTATATCGACGTGTTTATAAGGGCTGTGGCGAAAACGACAGGTATTAAGTGACGTTCAACGAGAGGTCCGATTAAAATAATGCACGTGATATTGGAAGAATAATTTTAAATATGCATTGAAAAAATGTGACCTGGAGCAGAGGTGCTATTGATTTGTAAGACACGGCAAATCAATAACCGGCGACTTAAGAGTTCATTAAATAAGCATTCAGAACCGAACGCTCGCAAAGCGTTCGGCATTTTCTTTAATGCCATGGACAATTTCCCAAAATAGATGGCATACGGTACCGATGACTTGCTGCAGTGCTCATCCCTAGCGCATAATCTGAACATAGAGTGCAAATATGTTAAATTTACACTTTTGAAAAACAGAGTTTTCGCTAGAAAATCTTTCATGTATTAATACGTGTTTTTCAAAACGATTGGAAGTGAACAGAGGCTGCCGAAACGTAATAAAATTTACTTTTTGAGGCAGACTATGACCACTATCACATAGCATTCACTGCTCGGTTCTATACGGTATCGATACCTGGTCTGTGTTCATTACTCGCAGTGCGTTGACTACTCGAAGATGAAGAAGTATGACTATCTGTCTTACCTGAAACAGGAAAGTTCCGTTACT